CATTTCATTGTTTTTAATCAAATGTCAATAAATATGAAATATTGTATTCTGATATTTCTTTATTTATTAGGAAAATATTGTTTTCTGATAAATTCTGATATTTCACAAAAAGTATTTCATTTTTAATTAAAGCATATCAATTTTAATTACAAATAAATAAATAAAACACCAGTATTGCATTCAGCCATACAGAGTTATTTGTATAATTCTAAAGTATACATATATATGAAAATTAATCAAATTGAAAATTATTTCTTAAAAGTATTTTTATTCATAATAATTATGACATAATAAATATTCATATTTATCAGAAAATATGTCATTAATATTTGTTATGATTATTTTAAAATTTAAAACTGAATAAAAATATAGATTTACCTTGATTATTCTGCCTTTCTGTAATTTTTTTTACCGTAGTTCTAATACTGTCATTACTGTCTTCACTACTAGGTTCTGGTCTTCGATAAGAAACGTCATGTTCGTTATTATCTAGTAATGGACGTTTTTTTCCTATCATGATAAATTATTTACATAAAATACCATAAAAAAAACTTTTTAAAATTATTGTAAAATATATATATTTGTTGATATTAGAAAATTATTAGAGAGGAAATAAAATGATGCATATTAATTTATGAAATATATACATACTAGCAGATAGGCCCGGCATTGCTCGGGCAAAAAGTAACGATAGCGAAGATTAAGATTATTACATTATAGTCAATCTTACCCGTTTTCAAAAAATGCAAGAATTAGGTTCCCCTGTTTCTAGACTAATTAGAGAATTTTTAGATGGGTTAAAAAATGTTTGATTTCCCGCAGAAACGAAAAAACTGCATCTGCGTCTGTAAATCTTGCCCGTCACTTTCTCTTAACACTTCCATTGTTCACACTTTCCCGTGGGGGGAAGTGTTAACAACCTCATCCCAGCTGGTGGAATTTCAAAAAATCCCTTCTTAGTGTATATTCTTGTGACGTGCCCTATTAAAACGCAATCAAAAATGCAAAAAACCGCATCTGCGCCTGTAAATCTTGCAAATTGCTTTCTCTTAACACTTCCATTGTTGACACTTCCATTCTTAACACTTCCATTGTTGAAACCTTAATCCTGTCCCTCTCCCCCAGGGGGAATTTCGAAAAATCCCTTCTTAGTGTGCATTCTCGTGACGTATCCTAACTGTGTACCAAATTACAACTTTCAACTCCTAACCGTTTGGGCTCTGCACTGATTATGATTATTATTATTATCAACTCGTCTCGATTATATATATAAATAAATTAATTTTATAAAGCAAATATTCATAATAAATTGTTATTAAACTTTAATTATAAGCATTAAAAATCATTAATATAAAATAATATGATCATTGATAATGATTCAATCAATAAACATAGATAAAGTTTCAAAACATTCATAATAACTTAGACAATGTTTTAAATTGTAAATTGCACACTTTTGAATACTGAAAATAATGCAAAAGTGGACATAACTTTTACTTTCCTGACTGTAATGTATACCAAATAAGGGAAAGTATTGGAATTGTGCCAAATTTTACCCTCAGAGATTTTTGCAAATCTCCAGGTTTTGAGACCTCAAACTCAAAAGAATAATAATAAAAAGTTTCATCGATGTGTGTGTGTTGGTGTCTATTTTGTTTAATATCTCAGGAGGGGATAAAAATTAAAAAATGAAAATTGAAATGATAGCTTATGTATAAAGGATATTGATGCCATTAAATTTTGGTGGTTAAAAAATTAAGGAGATGGTGTCATGTGTTACATCTCAAGAGGGGTCGGACTTAACAAACATTTTACTCACAAAATATATAACAACATTTTACTTGATACTTAATGAACATTTTACTCACATTTTATAACAATCTAGTAACAATGGTGTCACGCACACACAATTTTATTTATTCTGATTAATCATATAATGTTAATTTTAAAGTAAAATCTGATAACAGCCAATGCAATGCATTGTTAGATTTTATTTACTGATATAGTCATTCAAACTGCATTTGTTTTAGCTATCCTTTCAACAGAATTTAAAAAGTTTCATTCAGCAATAGTATAGTATAAAAAATACTGTATGTTCTTTCATTGTATATTTATTTTAATGTAAAAATCTAAATTAACAAGTTTGTATAGATAATGAGAATCAAGTAAGTGATTGTGAAGTTATGGACTAAAAGTTTGTTGATACAACAGTTCTTCAAAAGATGCTCTTACTGTTGACTGTCATCACTGATTTACTTCAAACTTTTAAATACAAAAAATTTTGAGTACATATTTACCTACAATGATAAATTAGTCAAATATTTTATTATTGATTAAACTCCACTATCCAGCTCCCCGATGGTCGCTACACTAACAACATGGAAAAACTATCATGTACAGTACATTCTCACTAGTCTTTATCCTTTGGATGACAGTACACAAATGGTCATCAGAAGTTCTACACTCACTCCTCCTAACACAGACAATGACCATAACTTCACCTACATTGAGGTTTCGAATGCCATCTGTTCTCTCACTGATAACAAAGCCCCAGGCCTCAATGGCATAACCACTAGGATGATTAAACATGCGTTTGAGGCCAATCCTACAGCGTTTGTTGTTCTTTTTAATGTGAGATCCGAAAGGCCCTGGGTCTATTTTATGAATTTTTATTGATAATACTAAATTATAGACACAAAATATTATTTCGTTTTTGGTGAAAAAACTGGTGTTTTAGACGTGGAAAAACCAGATAACAGATGCTACTTCCTTTCACAGAAGAGAACATCCTCTGTTTTTCCGTATCTGGTTAAAAATCTCGCTCAGATGGGAAATGGTTCCTCCTCGTTCATCCCCCTTTCGTCCGTTCTCACGAAAGAGTTACTGGATGATGATTGGACGAAAATTTTAAGATATAAAGGAAATTAGTCCAAATTCGGGGAGTTCTTCGACAGATCCGAAGTATCTAAACTCCACGCAGATTTCCTCCTGATGGCCAACGCCCTAAACGGAGTCCGATAGACTAAGTCCCGAGTCGACACTTAGAAGAAGTGATATTTTTATATTTGGTGCACGAATTGATCTCCCGTATGAAAGTAATAGGAACCCTATCTACAAGGTGTCCTCTACCTACAGAAACGAAGACGACGACAACTAACAGGTCGTATGTTTAGAATCATTTTGTGAGCTCTCTCTCTCGATCGCGCATTAGCATAGAAAAGGTCGTAGCCTCTAGCTTGTCGCTAAATGGTTGTAATCGAATATTTTTGTATTCGTTTGTTTGAGATTTATTAAATTTACTCTTGTTTTATTTTATAAGAATGTCTCCTCAATTTATTCTGAATCAGATCGTAAACGCGTGTTAATCCGCGTATAATAAGATCGATTAACTGGTGTCAAGGAATCCTGATGAACGTCTGAACTCCTCGTTCAGATCATTTTAAAATACGCTCTCCTATGTAAACTTTTTACGATTGGATCTTACGATTCGAAACTCGGAGAACTATTCTCACGGAATAGGCCGATTAAGTGGTACTAACGAATTAGTGTACCCCCGGCTGATCTCACATTAATATCTGCTTGAACATAGGCCTTTTTCCTACTCAGTAGAAAAAAGGCTAGTGTTAAATTGATTCCCAAACCCACCAGTGCTAACACTTACAAAAAATACAGACCAATCTGCCTTCTCCAAACTCTGGGAAAAGTGTTAAGTGTTAGATGGTCTAATGATTAATAGGATCACTTGGCATCTACGCAAGCATAGAGTCCTGCATCAGAATCAGTTCAGCTTCTCTAAAAACAAAGGTACTATAAATGCCATCTACCAGGTTGTTAATTATATCCACCAGGCTAAACATAATAATCAGTATATGGGAATAATTACTATTGACTTTAGAGATGCCTTTGTTCACACCTAGTGGCTTTCTATCTTGCACACATTATACACTCATCACTGCCCTCAAAATCTTTACAAACTTCTTCAATCCTATCTTAGCGACAAGAGTGCAGGTGTTTATACAACACAAAATAACGTAATCATACATATCACTCAGGGCTGTCCTCAGAGATCAAGGTCTGGTCCTGGTTTCTGGAACATAGCTATAACTCTATCCTGCACTTAAACAACACCCTGTCTCCTGGCTGCTCCATACAGGGCTATGCAAAAGACACAGTTATCTTAACTTTGTACAGGAACAGTGAATGCTTACAGGACATTTGCAATGATATTCTCAATAACATTCACCAGTGGAGTTTTAAGCATAGGCAACCTATTAACACTGACAAATGCAAATGCATGATAGTTGGTAGGAACACGCCACTCGTCAGGAAGCTTACCCTTTGAATAGGTGCTCACAGAATAAAGCAAACAATGGAAATTAAATATTTAGGTGTTATTCTTGACGAGAGACTTAACTTCACTCCCCACATCAAATACATCACAGACAAAGCTAAAAAGATGGCCAACACCTCAATAGTATTGCTAGGAACATATGGGGTCTTTCCCATGTGTTCCTAGCAATACAACTTGGCCCAAATGCTACTAAGCTTATTTATAGGGATGCAATTCAGACAGCACTCCTCTATGCCAGCTATTCCCAACCTTTTTTCATTAGCGTACCCCCCATGGCATTTCCAACTTCCCAACAAGCAATGCATGTGCAAATCTTGCACTGTCTGTTTGTAGAGAGTGTCACCATTTTGAATTTTATTTTGACTCGATTCTCAGTCCCCTGAGTACCTACAAGTCTGGTTTTTTATGCACGCATGATTTGGGCACCTAATACTTTGTGCCAAATTGCAACTTTTGACATGTACCTTTATACCTCTAAGCTGGTAACACAGCAGGCAGTATAATTTTATAAACAAGACACAGTCTTGTCAATAAAAAATTAATAAAAATACNAGTAAGTTCAATATAAAAATTTAATAAATTTTTAAATTTCTTTAAAATTAATTTGAAATAAAAAAAAAAATACTGCAATAAAATTATTACTACATACCTGGCTACAAGTTTTTCCCATCATTATTTGAGAAATAGCACAATAATTGTTGTAAAATACTCTCCACAATACTCGAAACAAAGACTGTTCGGCACCAGACCATTCCACGTCAAGTTCTGTCGAATTCAAAGGCGGCATCATCATAGAATAGGATTCATCTGTCATACATGGGTTATTTTTTCCTTTGGAAAAGGATGAATTCAATGAGGAATTTGTCTTGTTGGTAGACAAGAGAAAATTTGATACTTCAGTACTCAATGACGAGAGATCAGAAAGATATTGTTCAGAACCAGAATGGACAGGTAAAGAATTGTCAGAAGGGTTAGTTTGGTGGAGCAACTCTAAGGAAGATTCACAGACAGAAGATACAGAATCTGGTGATGTGCTATTAAACATATCTGCTATCATAGGAGCTTCATCCTCATCTGTTCCATCAGGAAAATCTGTTTGGATAGAGATAGTTTCTCTCACAGACTAATATGAAATGTTAATTTTGGGAAAGAAGACATCAGTAGATCCATTATTAAAATTATGTTTTTATTTTTTTTTTTTTTACATTGGAAGAAGAAAAAAGCAATGATATCATGCTTATTGAAATTAACTAAAATGTTTTTCATAAACAAAAAATGTATCTTTTTGTTATATTAAATATGAAATTTATAAATTGAGTTTTAGCAAATGAAATGCATCATTTAATAAAAATTTTATACATATTATTCTCAAACTGTAAACAATAAAATAATCTTTATTATACAAAACTAATAATTATATATCTAAACTATTAGAGATCGACATAAGATTTCTTCTCTCTCACACAATTTTTCCCCAGATTAAAAACGAAGCTGATGTTCATTAGTTTACATATGCAAATATGAGGTCACATGACTATATCAGAGTCATATATTGAAATGAAGATGCTAAGAGCTGTAACCAGATGGCATGAGCAGAAGGTGGTCACAAATATGGGTAAGAGAATCTGGAATGTAAGAGAACTTTTATTCACATGTAATAAAAACCATTCATTGACAAAGAGACATCCATTACACTACCTACAAAATCAACAGTCTCACTGAAGCTTACAAACAAACTGACTCATATAGTCACACAGTCAGTCTGCACAGAGATAAATCCTGGTAATACTCACTGGAAAGAGAGATGAATTTTGAATCTGTGATGTCCCCAGGCTGGGAGAAGAACTTGTCAATTCCAGAAGAGAAGCACATATAAACACATCTTTGAAAAGAGGTTGATGAAAATGAAGAAAATAAAAGTAATCAGGAAGGCACACAGTAACAGAACTGAACAAGAGTGAGCCTCATGTTCTCGAAACACAGATTTTTTTTATAGATTGGGTCCTTCAATCTTCACATTCTGAATGGTTTCAAATATTCTTCCCAGCAACTCAATTAGGCTCCCACCTGTTTCTAGATGAACTTTAAGACAATCTCAGGGCATGAAAAAGATTGATGCTGACAATTAATTTGATGCCAAATTCAATTCCAATCAAATCTTCTTTGCCTTAAATCAGAGTGTGTATACTTCACTCTAACAATAATTTAATGCAAATGTTTGAAGTCATTTGGAATTTCACAGAATATAAACAGCTTTCTTCTTTACTTCAAACTTATATCAGACTGTGTCAATCTTCTTATTTGATCATTTCTCACAATGAAGTGTAATATAAATGACACAAGGCTTTCTTTACTTCTGTTTAATTCTCTTTTTCTATTTGCCGAGATACATTTCAGCAAACAGAAAAAGAGAATTAAACAGATGTAAAGAAAGCCTTGTGTCATTTATATTACACTTCATTGAGAGAAATAATCAAAGGATATAAACAATTTGATAAGATTCTTTTTGATAATATTCTTTTGATAAAGTTATTAAAGGAAAGGGGTGCACGTCTTGATACCTGCAGGCCTTCATACAAAGGAAATAGTTCTGTGTTCATTACAATGTAGAACATAATATACAGCATAATCCATTTTAATCAATCCATTGGAATAACTCAAAAAATACACATCCTATAAAAAATTCATTAAATCAAAAATGTTAGACTTAAAGGGGGACACAAGATGAGGGTATCAGTTTTATCATAGATGGTGCTACAATCAATGAAAATGGAGTCGACTTCATTTTCCTAAAAGGAAACTCCCTTTTTATTGCATATTATGATTCTTCAACAAAAACAAACTTTTATCTGAAACCCATATCAGAAGTTACAAGTGTTCGAAGTTTTATGCAGTTGCCACAGTGTGTACATGTAAATCAAAAAAACATTAGGACACTGTTATTATTTGATGAAATCATTCTTTTTCTTCAAATAATGAACTGATACAAATAATGAACTGATACAAAACTAGTGCCACAGCACATTAAAGCCATCAAGCTTGTGATAAAGAGATGTTGCTCTTGATTCCAGTTAATGTATGATGCATATTTTTTAAGATATTCCATTGGTTTGATTAACATGGCTAAGTTTGTCCTGATTGATTAAGACCAATTTGAATACAGAACTGAATATGCATAAAACTTAGAAATTTAAAAATAAATTACTTGTTTGGATTTCAATGGAAATGGTCTGTTTTTTTAAATTTAAAATTAAGAACTAATTACAGTATTTAATACTGTAATTTGTGTGTTCCATTATTTCTGGTATTGAAGTAATTAAAAATAATTTTGTAACTATTTTGTAAAACTAGATATATTTATGGTGTAGTAAACACTAGTATTGTGTTTTATTCCAAAGACACATGGCAAATTTTCCACCAAATTCCACGGTTTCAAAAAACAAATCAACAAATCTACAGAAACTAGAAACGGCAAGACTCATCAAACAAAAATGCAAAGAAGCCAACAGCAAGATCACAGACAGGAAGAGAAAATACAAGTTGACTGAAGAGGGGCAAAGTCCGAAACGAGTACAAAACAATGTACCGTATCGACTCAACTAATAAAGGAATTTGATGGAAAATTTGCCATGTGTCTCTGGAATAAAACACAATACTAGTGTTTACTACGCCACAAATATAAAACAGGACACGGTTTCAAAAAACAAATAGATATATTTAACTGAAAATCTCCTGATTGTATTAACTTCCAGTTTCCAATGTATGGTACAGTACATGTCAACTGTCTTAACTAATTGTTAAGCACTGTCACAATGTACGAAATACCAATTATAAAAGAAAATATAATTTTTCAAATTGAAGTACACATTGTTAGTATAGTGCATGCTTGCATTGTCAACCATGACAACATTGACATTGTAAGTGTTATGGTCAATATTAAAGTTAAAAAAATGCATCCCTTATAATGATATATCTTGTGCATTATCACTTTGTCTCATGTGACTTATGTGAAGATGGAAACAGTGCGCTTTGTATTAAATGACTTAATATATAGTCATTTCTATTAAATTCACAAAATTTTGACATTTTATATTACATATTAACCAATATTTTATATCAACCAAACTCATTAATATAATGCCTATCCTACAAATTAATGCAGTCTTTGTATAAACAGATAATATAATGAGCAAAAATTATTGTAACATTGTCACAATGCTAAGCATCAATTTTTAGTCATATTTTTAAATTTATTTAATTTAAAATATATGATCTGGATCTCAAATTATTAGTGTCTTGCCCTGTACATTATACTTTTCCTGACAATAACAATAGTCACGCCGGTCATCTAGGTAACCATTCCGGGATAATTTTTGAATTGAAATCACACGTCTTCTCATCTATACCAGAATTCATATATAGTTAATTGGGCCTCCTGCCCCAAAGCATTCCATATCTGGTCTTGACTTTCATCTATTAAACACCGTTCTCTAGATTAAGGAAGGACAGACACACAGATGAATGTAGAAACTTAGGTCTACAACTTTTTCAAATTGCAGCCCAATAATAAGGTTTGACTATATTATATTCTATTTTATGGATATTTCATAAAATATTTTGTATTCGTAATTATAATTATTTGTAAATAAATTTTGTGAATATCATATGTTTATATGACAATCATAAATAATTTTAAATTTCACAATTCTAATTGTAAATGCATTTCATTTGCTAAAGTGAAATAACATTATATTTTAAATTCCTTGGAATAAAAAATGATAGTTCACACACTTAATTAATGCTTCAAAAATTGAATTAATTACACAAACTTATTACGTTTACCCACAAACTCAAAAACCTTAATTAGGAAGAATTATAATTAATATTATTTTGTTAACTTTAATTCATCTGAATCTATATTAAACTATCACTGTAAAAAATATCTACAAAATATATTTTATTGCAACAAATTTTACTTCAGTTTCCAAACATAAAACTATTTATTACTACTTTTATGTATTTATAATAAATAAAATGAATTTTGATATTTTAATATAATAAATGTTTAAAATAGTTCAAATTTATAAATTTTATAATTTCAAACTTATTCTATATGATACATATATAATATTTATAATATATTATAAAAGATACTCTAAGAAATGTAATGAAAAAAATACATAATGTACTGAAATCACTATTATAAATATAAGAAAAATGTACAGAAAGCATTCACATTAACAGTGAATCAATATATATTTATAATGAAAAAATAATGATTTAGATCAGCAATAAGAAATTTTTAATCTATACAAACTGTATGTTCAATCTAAACTCAATAAAAATTATTAATGAAACAACTCATATCCATTGTAATTACATTTTTATAGTAATTTAGTTATCATAATAATGTATAAATTATACAACACTTAAAAGTTTTATAATTTTTTTATGACGTAAATATTCAGTATTAAGAAAACTTCTTAAATTGGAAACAACAAAAAATAAAACACTTTTTATCTTTCAATTCTTATTCCTTTTTCAATATTCTCACAATTTAAGATTATTATTAATAATGAAGCAAAAAAATTTTTAATCAATCATGGTGTTAGTACACACTACCTATAAAATCTCGTTTGTAAATTACAGTTGATCCCCCTATAACACTGTTGATAATTCCGTTTTATATGAATTCAATGTTGTACGAGTCACTTAGATTTTACAAATACGTGTGCCAGGCTGTGAACGGCTCACGTATTTGTAAAATCTAAGTGACTCGTACAACATGGAATTCATATAAAACGGAATTATCAACAGTGTTATA